AGATATTTCACAAATATTACAGAATGTTTCTCTAAGTTTTTCGGCAAGTTTTCTCGTTCTTTTTTCTCTCTTGCCTTCCACTTTTTCACGATGAGAAGATGTGTTTAATATCCCAGTTGACGTTTATAAGATTTTGATTCAACTTTCTGGCGCAATTAAATTAGATATACTGCAAGCAGTTTGTATTTATTGATCTTCTTTTGCAAACTTTATTATGCTTCTTATGAGGGCACTTCTATGATGTGAACGATAATTTTCGGGGATTTTATTTGCCATTGTCAACAAAATATACTCCCTTTTTTCTGTGTTTCGTTCAGCAACTGAAATCAAAACCCTCTCGGAAGGCATTTTAATTAATTCTTTCATTTGTGAAAAGCAACACCATCATCTATTTAATGTAGGACTGTCTCCTCTTGATGCCCTTTTCCCATCCATTCTGGTGCTGCCGCGGTGGGTGGTGGGCGGGAGGACGGAAGGAAAAAAAGAGAGAAACCTTAATCATCGTCTCCTTCTCATAATACACAATCCATTTGCCTGATTTACATTTTAATGTTGAAATGAAATTTTTATCTTTGTTGAGTTTCCTTTTATTTTTTGCATGGGTGTTTGTGTACTGCTATGTTTGTGTGTGTGTGTTGTTCTGCTGAAAATAACTTCATAACATTTTATGCTGAATTTATGTAAATTTGCAATTATATTGAAATAAGTAAATTATAGTCAATGTTTTCTACACGCTCTCGCCATCTTTTTTTCAACGTTTACAAAAGCGTGTTACAACTAAAATATATTTTATTAAATGTAATACTTTTTGCATTTGTATTAATTAAATTAAATTTGATAGAAATTTATATTGGGGAGAAAAATGTGGTCGTGAATTTTATGCAAATACAAAAAAAAGTTTCCCTTTTTAGGAATGCGTAACAAACCTAGAATGAATGTAATTGCGGAGTTAATTAAAAAAGTTTTTGTAATTTTTTTGTCAACTTCACTTGTGGCTGACAAAAAAATTGTATTAATTTCATTGTCATTCATTACAATTTTTCGGGGGAACACAATTTAGTATGGAGCATTTTGCCATCGATTGCCATTTTTCCGAGAGCGCAAAGGAGAAAGATGGAAGAGATTTGATGAGATTGAGTGAGGGTGGATTTTTCCTTTAAAAATGATTAACATCACTTTTGTATTATAATGAATTAATAATATTCAATTAGTGGAGGAGAAATTTCTATTCATGTATTTCCAACATTATTATTCTGGCATAGCAATGGAATTAATGTAAATTGGAGTACATGGAGAGATATTCATTCGGCGTTTTAGTTTGAGCTCCTCTCGGTTGTCCTCTTCTCTCTTTCGGGCGCAAATACGCTTTGCATCTCTCTCGCCACTTGTCTGATATATTCGCTATATATCTCGTCCAAACAATATCAAATATTTAATTTCCTCTTATCATTTGTTAATTTTCCTCTGTTACTTAATTTCTGGCTGGTAAATACAGGCCAATAATTTGTATGTTTAAGCAAGAACGTTTTCGTTGAGAAAATGCTTTGCGTCTGTGTGTGTGTGTGTGTAGAGAAAGAATTTTTGAAGTACAGAATGATATTAATATTAGTTTAGTCTATATTTTCATTTTATGGTCTCTGCTGTTGACTCTGCCATTGAGGCATAAATGCGATAAAAGAGAAGGGGAGAAAGAATGTGAATTCTTTATCTCCATCTCCTATATCGAAATTTATTAAAGAACTACATGATAGTAAAGTTTGTATTTTGTATCACGATAAATTTCGAAAATCAATTTTCCCTCTCCCCTCCGCGCCATCGCCAAGCGTTTCTTGCACAGTGAATCGACTGTTGGTGTTGTCGTCGTATTGGCAGAATTATTAATGATTGCTGAAATGATTGTCATGGCATTGAAACTTAATTTTCTTGTTACAATTAAAATTCCTTCTTTTTTCCTCACTCTTCGCGCCTTTCTTCCTCGTCATGTGAATTTTCAGCTAGATTTATGATCGCAATGCAAGAGACAAACACGCCAAAGAGAGGCCAAAGCCTTCAACTTTTCCAAATGCTTTTTCGCCTCAATCTCTAACCTAGACCACTTGAATTGGAGTCCAAAGGAGTTCAAGCTCAAAACCACTGTGGCACACTCAAACACGTTTCGCCATACCAAGTGTGACGAGAAGGTATGGAAAAAAGACCATTTTCATGTGGTTTTTGCTATGACAAATTTCTTCATTTTTACGCCACTTGTGAGTGGCGTAATTTGATGCTTTTTCCGGTTCTTTTTCTCTATACTTTATGTATATTTTGGTGGGGAAAAAGTTCATTGAGAAAGTCTATTAACCTTATGATCATGAAAATTCTAATGAGTTACCCTTGAGAGGTAATTTTGAGAAGACCTTTCGCAATAAATGCCCATGATTGCGTTTTCTTCTCTTTGCAGATTTTCCCGAAAGGCTGTGAGCTCAATTTGAAGTAAGTTCATAGAAATTCATTAGCACTTATAGTCACGACATGCGAGTTTACAGAAATCTTCTATACTTAATCTATAAGCCAGTTCGTTCGTCAACAATCTAGCAGAAACTTAGGGGTCGTTGCAATTTTACAAATTTCGAATTTCAGTACGTAAAAGCTATGAATTTGCTATGCAACTTTACGATTTTGCAACGACTCCTTAACTAGTTGAAAACATCAAATGCTTCATTCATGTCACAAATTGATAGAATTTAACGCCCAATTTTGATTGAAGAGTATCTGAAGTGGGAATTTCATTTAAAATTGCGTCTTCAATCACCTCTGAATAATATAGATCGCTTGGCCACGAGCAAAAAGAGACAAGGGCTCTTGCTATATGATTTACCAACTGTTAAACTGAGCGTTTTTCCGCCTCTTGTTGAAATTTTAATGCATCGTTTTTCGTACAAGTCTCTTTTACGTGTTTTTACGCCATCATCTCTAATTTTATTCTGTACAAGCAACAAATACTTCCATGTTTTCGCTTTTTCCTCACACTTCTTGCTGTTTTCTTTTACCGGTTCCCATTGTCAATCATCAACAATGGCTGAAAGCAAAATCGACGACGCGTATTCGAATTGAATTTGTTCGCCTTTTAGTTTGTTGTTGTTGTTCATCTGTATTCCATCGAATTTTATTATTCGCAAATTAGTTTCAACAGTGAGAGTGAGAGGGTGAAAAAAAGGAGTGAATCAATTAATTAGTTTATTTTTAATGGGACGACATGAAGTGTAGGGAAAAAAGTTATTGATTTAGGTTCTCTGTGGAGTGACATTTCTGGGTCTCCGCACCTGCTGGTTGATGTGACAAAACGCTGAGTAGTGTGATTTTCAATTTAGATCGAAAGACGCGATGGAAGGCTGGTGTTCGATCCCTCTTTCGGGGGTTATTGCCTGCTACTCCGGCTCACACTGAGGGCCCCTTGCGCGTCAGAGTGCTGATTAGGAGCGACTCGTGGCGCTCTATCTCACTCGTGCACGCGTTTTATTACATCGCTATTACATTGATGTGCGATTGTGTAAACGCAATTTAATTTCTAGATGATGATAAATTGTTTTTATCAATTCATTATCGTTGTTTATTGTATTTGTTTCTCCCTATCATATTTTCCCCTGTTATCTTTTTTCCTCTCTTTCTGTCTCTGCACTGAGAGAAAAATCAGGCTAAAATTAAGTCAATTTCGACATATTACATTATTATTATAAAATATGTTGAAATATACTAAAACTAATCTTTTCTCAATTTCTGGTGTTAAAATTAAACCGTTTTTGCTTAGTTTTCAGACTATTTTGCATCCAAAAATACTAAGACCAAGTATATTTATGATTTTTACATAATAAAAACAAATTTATCGTTATTATTATTGTATCGGTTTATATTTTAAAATCGAATTAGTATGACGAAAAAGGATTAGTTTAAGTTAAAAATAAGCCCAAATATTCTTTATTCTAGTCGTTATTGATTTCAATTAAAGAGTAGAATACAATTTTAACACAATTATACAATTGGAATTAAGTTATGAAAGGCATTAATTTTATTCAAATATGGTTTTTAAATGTTTAAAATTACGATATCTCAAAAAGGACTTGAACTTAGGTACATTTAGACTAAATGTAAGACCTTTTTTGGAATCTCTATTTCAAAAATATGCATTTCTTAGTTAAAGATTACATTATTTTTCTGAGTGATGTTGTGTATCGTGTTGAGAGTCACTCTGTTTGGTGATGTGTGTTTGGCATCAAATTGGAGGAAGATGAATTTTCTTGGCGATCCGCACACACACACACACAGTCTTGGAAAGTGTATTGACAAAATTGGCTGCTATTTACTTCAAATGTGAGTTGGCTGGAATGGTGTCTTTCATTCGCAATAAAAATGTGATTTATTTGTCAATTTTCTTTTGACATGTAACAATGATTGAAAATGAGTGGCGAAGAGGAGGGAAAGGCGGAGGATTTGGGAATAATAATTGTCAGGAATCGATGGGGGTGGGGGTGGGGGTGGGGGTGGGGGAAGCATGTCTGTTTTGAGGGATAGAAGTAACTGACATTTGTAGTGATGGACGGGGGCGCTGAAGGCGGGGAGCGGAGGAGAAATTAAATAATTTTCCCATGTTGATTTACACGTCTTCCATCTCGCTCTGTCGCGCCGGGAATGTCGTTAAATTCTTCTCCCCTGACTGACATGTGAGTAACAATTGTGGGAGCGAGAGAGCGCGATGAGTGTGTGTATTTTGGGCATGTTTGGTGCAGAGATCGAAGAAGACGGGCGCGCGGGGGTGGCTGAGAGTTCGTGTGGCGGCGTGTGAGAGGGATGTTTTCCCGTTTGAGACACGAGGTGGTGTTTCAATCGTAATAATAAAAATACTATGGCATGCGCGGGACGTTTCAAAATTTGATACAAATTGTACCCAATTCCAAAATGGCCGCTCCTCTAAGAATTTTTATATCAAAAACTTTATATAGCAATATCTCTTCGCTTGCTTGCGATGTTTTGGAGAGAGAAAAAGATGGCCTGTGGTCGTGTGTTGTATGTAAGCGAAGGAGGACGCATGAGTGAGAGAATGAGAGATTGACAGAATCGGATGTGTGCCTCGTGGTGGAATCGTGCTCAAATCGTATCGTATACAATTCTTGAGCTTAATTCGTTGGTATTTTTCTCATTCGGTCACCGACCGCTGCTTGAGAAAGTGCTTAACTCTGTGTCTCGTGGCGTTGAGAGCTCAAGTGATTGTTTGTTGTGTATTTTCCCTCAATTCGTGTCCCACAGCGTCTGGTCGAGAATTTTGGGGCTTCTTTGCGGTGTGAAATTGTAATAACACTGGAAAATTGTTTCATCATAAAAGCAACGAATAGATTGGGAGCGACATCTAGGACTCAATAAAAACGGTTTACAAGTGCGGAGAAGCGAAAGAGAATCTTTAAGAACTTGATTACGAACATTTTATAAACAATTTCGAATGCATTCTGACCCGAAGACGCTCTAAGACGAAGTGACGTGAGGGAAGTGAAAGAGGGAATATCTTGCGAATAAATCAATTCCCATGTGAAATATCCTGCCTTCTTCCTTCGACATATCTTTCTTTGATTCAATCATCAAAGTGGGATGTTTGTGTTTGATGTAACTTTGATGTGAAGAGAGCGAGTGTTACTCGAGTGAGAAGAGTTGCTGAGAGACAGAAAACATTTTTCAATTTTACCAATTGAGACGAGAGAAGAGATTAAATTAAATTGAATGTATAGAGAAAAGAGGAGAGAAAAAAATTGTTCAACGACCCAACATTAAATCAAATACACTTCAAAAGTATAATAATTTCACTGAAAGGAGCCAAGTGTGAGAGAGAGAGAGACAGAACACGGGCAAAAAAGGCACATTGGTGAATTGATTAAAATCGTGAAGTCAGTAACTGTAATTTGAAAATATTCAAAAGTCTATCATCTGAATATATTGAATGGTAAGGCTTTTTGTGGACTCTCTTGTGTGTTGCTCCCTTTGATTGCACTATCGAGATTAATTTCTGAATTGACTCTCAAGGTGGTTCAAAAAAAAAGCGTTGAATAATTGCTAAAGGAAGGAAGAGGAGAGAAAGACAATATATTAATTATATTAAATTGATTTGTGCTCAAGATTAAAAGGTATTTTTTTCCTTAACCGTGCGTTGTGATTCTGCAGAAGAAAAGCAATTTAGTGAGCGAGTTTTTTGCGTCAAATAAGAGAGACGACTTTTGAGGTGTGTTTATACTTCTGTATTACTTTTTGCTAGAGCGCAAAAGGAGTGTAAATATTGAAAAATCTCATGTGAGAGTTTCAATGGAATTATTTTGAATATTTATTTCAAAATACCTGAAGAGCAGAGATAAAAAAGTGCGCGATTATTTGAAAGTTGCCAATTGGCGAGGAAAAGAATGTGTGTGTGCAGCAATTGAAGAAAAAGAGCGAGAGAGAGAGAGAGAGATCTTCCGAGAAAGAAATTTTTCTACGCTATCTAAGATTTAAATATGAAGTGATGCATCAACGTTTTTTTGCTGCTCAATAGTATTCATCATTCCACATGAAAGTATTGAATTAGTGGTCATTTGAGAAGACGTTTTGTGAGTGCATCGACGAGAGTGTGCCGCTGAAGACGCGCCTCAGCTGCACTGAGAGAAAAACTGACTATGGAAGCGTACAATACAGGATCCGATTTGAACGTTAACAGGATGTTCGATCAATACTTATACAAGGTTTGCATATTTTACATTTTCACAATCTTATATCGATGTTTGCAGGGCATTTAGCACACCATCCAACAAGAGCAATTAGGGTGATAATGAAAAAATATATATTTAGCATTAAATACAATTTGTGGGGAGAGAGAGATAAGCATGTGATAAGCAGATGCAGCAATTGTGTTTAATAGCCACCATATACTCAAGCATGAGCCTTACAATATCTCGAGAGAGAGAGACACACACGAAAAAAAGAGTGAATGGATGAGAGAAAAGTGGAGAATTTTATTGCTATAAAATAATTAAATTGGATATAATCGGTGGAGCAATTAAAAGTGATTACTTTAAAGTGTTTTTTATTGATGGTTTGGTATTTTTAAAATACTCTCAATGCCAAATTCGTTTCAATACAAATTACCTCCATCTCATTCAGTCTCTATGCCGCCCAGTGGGCATTCCACACTGGATTCCTCTCCCATCTCACTCTCCTTATTGGGCTTCATTGATATTACACTTGGCCATTTAGCAGATTCCACTAATTAATTTATTCTTTCATCTATTCTTCAGTTTCATCTTCGAATGTCTGTTCGTGTTTCTAAATCGACACTGAGCAGATAAATCAATTAACTTTTATCTCTGGCTCTACGATGTCAATGCCATTGGGGTGAAAACTGTCAAAAGAATTCGTATATCATTTTGGCACTTGCAATCTAGAAAATCTAGCAAAAGACGGAACGGTTCATTCGCTACACTGTCGCACAGAGAGCAGCAGTTTCTGCTCCAGTTTGCTCACAGTGTACTCCCTGTGGCAATTTATCAAAATTGAATTATGAATTGGTTTGGAAGCAATTTAGCCTCTTGCGGCCTTGATGGATTGTTTTATACTATAACAATAATTTGTATATTTCTCATTGTTACATCATCTTGGTGGGAGAGAGAGAGAGAGGCCACGAAGAAAAAAAAAATGATATTCAAAGAAGTGGTGAACTCTCTGCCGCAGTAATTTTAATTGGAAATAATTCAGTTTCTCGATTATTGCTCACAATCGTTGAAATATTCCTTGCAATATTACTCACAACTCGTCAATTAATCTAATTAATTGAATGCACAGTGATTGGGCAAGAATATATCCAATTTGGCTGTGGATGATGGAGGTGAGAAAGAGGGGGGGAAAAAAACTCATTGTCGACGTTTTCCTTTTTGGACGCGCAAATCAAAAGCACATTTTTTTAGTGCAATTTTGTGGTATTTTTACCTTTTAGCCATCTGTAGCGCCTTGGCATTTAGCTGCTGTCTTTTTTCCACTCTCAATCATCCATTGAGCATTTCTTTAATTATATTGACAAGAGGTGAATGCTCTTTATCGAGAAATATCACTTTGCCTGACGTCACGACGAATGGAATTTCATGTGTTGAGGAATTGACAAATTCGGCACATTTTCTCTCAGTGTTCTCAAATTGTTTTGTGTGCCTTCATTTGCACAATTGCCGCATAATTAATTGGAATCTCAATTGTTCAATGAACATTTTTTTTTGTCTTCTCCTCTTGTGGACAATTTGCGATCTATGCAATGTATGCTTTTTTTCCACAACAGTCTCTCCTGTGCAGCATAAAATAATGTTGTGTTTACGTGAATTTTCAACATAGAGAGCAATTTAATGTATAAATTTGCAGTCTCATGTGTACTATATGAATGTATAGGAGGAGAGTTGCATTTAGTTTGTACCACCAAGTATAAATTATGCAATTCAAATAGCACACAATATAATTTATTCTTGTCGTCGTCGTTATTGTTGTTGGGCTGCTGCTTTTGCCCTCTCTCACATCACTTGTGCGCCCGAGATAAATGTGGAGAATGATGGGTTTTTGGGAAAGGCGAGTGGAGACGTGAGGTGGATTGGTGTGGAGCAATAAATATGTAGGGGATTGATGAACGACATGGGGACACTTTTAAATAATTTATTTATCTTTTTACTTTGCCTACCTATGAAGTGAAGTCCGTGTGTATAATGTATGTCTCTTGCTGTACTTGAGGCGATGCCGCAGGAATTTGTGCCCAAAGAGAAAGAGGGAAAGAAGGTGAAATTGAGGAGATTCTAGAGTGGAAAATTTGCAAAAAAGAAGGGCAGAGTGAGCATGAGAAGAAGAAGAAATTGGTGAATTTTGATGTTGGAAATTAAATTTTCATCTCATGTTTCTGAAGTGAATTTGAGCTTGTTTTGATGCTAAAAGTGATGCTGGAAGGCAAGATGATTTGAGGATACACACCATCAGTATTGTGCTCTCAATAGAACTTTCGAATTGTCATAAATTAATCATGCATTTCATGGCATCATCACTATGAAGAGAATTTCCTCTGAGAAAAGCCAACATTAGTAGAAGAAAAATGCATAAATTATGCTTTCGTATCACCTCAAATCGCCTTGGCATGTGGAACAAGTAAAAACACAAGCTATAAGATTGGCGAAGCAAATCCATTGGAGATTTTTGCGTTTTTTCTCTTCATTCTGTCTCTCGTGAGGAATTCTTGCAAAATTCTCAAGCAATTCCATGAATATTTTCATTAAATTACTCTGTTTTTTATTACTGTATATGCTTCCAATCTCTTTATAAGTCATTTAAGCCTCTATATATTGATCAAACATTCTCCCTTGTAATAACAACACATAAAAGTTATAGGCGAGCCAATTGCATTTTATATAATTTCACTTCCTCCCTCGTTGGAATATTTTGCGTCTTCTCACCACTAATTGCTATTTTATCTTGAAAATGTTTTGTGCATTTCCCTGGGACGAAGTTCGGGGTGGAGTGAGAGAAGTTCGTGGTAAACTGTGCCTCCTTCCCCGCAACGCTAAAATTTATACATTGCCAACATGAATTCAACTTTTACAATTAATAATTATTGTTGGATAACTTTCTATCAAAGAAACTTTATAGAAAGTATTACAGTATCTCCCCACCTTTTCACTCGCATCAACGGCTTTTTGCCATCCTCCTCTTGGACTCCCGATACTGTGCCACCGAACTGTTTGATGGGAAACACTATAAATTGAGTTTCGAATTACAAGAAAAAGGCTTTTGATTTTTCCTCGTTGAGATTTTTCACTAGAGATACTGCAAGTCTTTTCTCTCAGTGCCTCAACGGGTAGACTTAGTTAGGGGATGCTCGCAAAAGGGGGAGAAACAGTTCACCCTCCTTTCCCATTTAATCATCTGTCTCTGTCGTATTCTATGTACTTGATGTTTTTGATGTTCTACACAGCGGATTAATCCGAGTGTCAGAAAAATGGATTGTAATTTAAAGAGACGTACGAGAGCGTCTTTGGCTGATTTCACGGGGCACAAGGATTGAGCTGTGTTGTGATGGAACACTGAGAAAAATCAAGAGTAATTTTTTCGTATGACGAAAAATCACAATCAAAGTTTTTATCTGGGGAAATAACCTCGAGTCGAGGGGAGCCCCAAAGAGAGATAAGGCGAAAAGTTTCGGGCAAAGTGCTAGAGGGAGATGGTGGACGTTTATAAATAATGTGAGAGAGATTAGATTAATTGAAGTTTTCTTATCTTTTTCACTCCTTCCTCCTTGACTCCAGTCAAAAGTCACCAGAAAATTTGATGGAAATTCCTCTACTATGCTTTTTTGGCGTGATTGTTTGACTGTTCTTGTGGTGAAGAGCGAGTAGAAATGCATGTTTTCTCCCATTTAGACATTCAGTGTCTTCATCAAGGGAGAGACAATACAGTTGGAAGTGGTGTACAACTCAGCGGAAGTCTTGGGAAGTGGAAGTGTAAAAAAAACTTACAATATTCCTTTCCTGTGTGCTTCTTTTACTGACAAATTATACCAATTCCTTGGATTTCTTCCAGATACTTTTAAACGAAGTCTTTGAAGTTCTCTGAGTTAAATTTTTATGTTGTGGTGAGAAAAGACACCCAAAAAAGCGATTAAAAGTGGATTATTACATAAATATTGGATGGAAACTAAAGAAATTTATTATAACTTGAGAATTAGTGTACAAATAGTGTGAAAACTTCAATTTCTGGCAGTGGTGTACAGATTAAAGGCACATTATTTCCTCCTTGGTCTGTATGTATGTTGGAAAAGAGAGTAGAATGAGGGTGAGATGGAGGATAGATGTAAAAAGGAAGGATAATTAAATTGATTATATTGAAATGTCAAGAAAACCGGTTAAACACATGGTTTAATTTTCTCAAGCAAAATGCAATCTTATTGCTCTTGTGCTGTGCTTAAAAGTCCTATTTTCATCTCTTTCACACGCTATGCACATAGAAACATGATGGTGGAGGGCAGAAAAAAACCGAAGTAAAAAGGAGGCAAAATGGTAGTGAGAGAGAGATGGAGAATGAGATGAAAACCACAAGAAAAATGCTGTTGTATTGCTTTTTCTCTAACAACTCTTTTACCTCTTTTTTTCCTATCTCTATAAATTTTTATTACAATGTATGTACGCTTTTTTTCAAATTATGTCTTGTAGACGTGGTGATACTGTGTATGAAATGAAATTTTGTTTGAAGTGAAAGAGGAGGAAAGAATGGAAAAAGGGGAAAAGTACTCTCTAAATATTGTCTCAAGAGACATGCAAAGAGGAATTTAATAACAAAAATATTTAATATGTGATTAAATATTTCAAAAATGTTTGCACTGAACTTTTTTCTCTCTCTCTTCATTCACTTGATTTTCATCCTTGATTTTGCGCGCTGTCTTGTGAGGAGATTGCTCTGAATAGTGGCATGATTGTTCTATGTAGAAACATAGTTTCGCACAGGGTGTTGTAGAAGAAGGGGAAAGAGAGAGAGGGAGAGAGAGAGAGAGAGATGAATAAAAAACGTTGATGCCAATGCACCGAAATCCCAATAATTTCTCTTGTGATTTTGCCTTCTTCCACTCCTCTATTATTTTCCTTCACCTCTTCCTCCGCCGACCGCCTGGACATCATGCCAGACTTGCTCAAATTGTTACAATTTAGAGACCTTCTCAGACGAAATTGAAGAG